TCCTTGCATTTAAATAATACATTTAATCATGCAATAACGATTACAGAGCTGCATTGATTTGTGTCTTATATCTACCTAGAGTTCAGCTTTATGCATCGCAGCACTTTGATGCCAAGAGATATGGAATGTCTTGTAACTGAGACGTGGGTTTTGTGTATGTTTCCTGATGTATGATTATTTACACGTGTGGGAGACGCCATATGTATTAACTCATAAGAGCCAGTAGTGGTTACCATGGTAATGTCAAGAGGAACAAGAATGCATTAAATGTGCAGGGAATAGGCTGTGCGCTGATAGAAATATGTGGATATATATAGGAGCTCCGTGCTGATCAATATTATATTCCCTGATGTCTATTACATCCACATGTACCTTATACAGTCTTGGCATCTCTTACATTTACACTCTGCAAAGGGTATGCACACAGACTCCAAGCAATACACATGGGTAAAAATTGTCTTCTTTATCTTAGAATGCAATATATTTCATCTATAGCAATCTCTAGTGTAGCACTACCCCCACAGGGGCCGCTTGGTAATTTGGGTTTTCTGTTCTGGGCCTTGAATCCAAGAACAGTCTCAGCCCCTCTGATACATGTGGTTGAATGAAAGTTACTGGAAAAACATATAGGAACACGAGTATAGATACTTTTACCTCGGCTGTGCATTAGTACCAGGACGTAGACACAAAAAAACTTTTAGTGGTAAATGAACTCAATGTAATGGCACAGGTTAGAGTAAATGGTAAATGGTGGTTTGAACATAAATGAACACACAGACCGTAGGTTCAGACACAGTCTGTTATACAGTATAATAAACTATGCCAATGTAACTTAGAATAGAGTTCTGGACCACTAGACTTAACTCATGAATCAACAAAGTCAGCAATAAACAGTGCATATGAGCATTACCAAAATGTGAATAGTAATACTATACCTTGTCTAGAGTGTACTCTAGGGAATGGCTAGAATATGGTGCAATATCCCCTGGAAGGTACCTCTTAGCATAATCATGGTTTCTGTGTAACAGCTGCAAAGGGGCAGTCTTCAGCTGGCTAGCGTTGGGGCCCAGTTGTACCATTGGTACACATGAGTACACTCCCAGTTACACCTGCAGGCAGCAAGCAAGGTTATTAGAGTGCTGTATGGTCATGTCCTAAAGGGCTCAGTCTCTCTATCTATCAGCAGATAGTAAACCCCCAAAGAAGCAGCTCATCAGTCCCAGCGATAATGCAGCTCATCATCTGGTCACACACAGCAATTTGTCCACTCTCTGCTCTGCACCCAGACACCCAGACTCTGTCTGTTGGCACCCCTAAACTCAGCACTCCGGATACTGCCCAGACCATCGATATGCAGCAGTGATGGTGCACTCTCTGGTCTTCCTTACGGCAAGAGGAAGCTCTTTAATTTGCAGCTCTTTTTTACAGCTCTTTTCTCCACCTATTGCTCTCTTCCTTTGGGAACTGTAGTAAAAGGATCTATAAGAGTCCATAGCATGGCTCCCTTCCTGAATTTCAATTTCCACACTCTACTGTAGCCAGTACAGAGGTCCCTTGAATTCCTTAGGCTTGTCTGCTCCCCCTACTGGCTGGAGGCAGGCAATGTTGCTAGGCCAAACATGAACAGTATAATGAGAGCATAGAGACAGCTACAGCACAGTGTCCTAACTTGCTCTCCCTAGCTACACTAGAGAACACTAATGTAGGCCATAGAAGGTTCGTCTATCGGACGATTTATCGTCCGAAAAACGAATCATCGGTTGTTCTGTTGCCACCAATGATTGTGAAAATTGGCCGTTTTTCACAAATTTACCAGCATGACCGATAAAAGAAATGAGGAGGAACCGGGAAAATTGGCCGATTATTCTTTCGGACAATAAACGAACCGTCTATGGCCTGCATAAGGCTCAGTTCACACTAGCTTTGTCAGCAGGCGTCAGACAGGCATTTGGGAAGCGGTTTTAACGCTTTGGGAAGCGGTTTTGAAAATTCTGCACATGGCAGCACACAGTGCTGTTCACACAAAAGCGTTAGTGTCGCGTTGCGTTGCGGCAAAACTGACGCCTCGTGTCGAATCAGGAGGAGTTGAAGTCTCCCATTCAAGTCTATGGTGCCGCTGGTTCTGGCAGGCGTTTGTGGTGTGGTTGCGACGCGGTTTGTGAGGCGGTTGCGGAGCGTTAATACCATTTAACTTCATTATAGGCATTTGTGGTGTGGTTTTAACGCTTGCCAAACGCTTATCAATCACCTCAAAACTGCACATGGGGTGTTTGGGGAACGCCTGAGGAGCGTTAAAATTGCTTCCCAAACGCCTGTCTAACACTTAGCCCCATGAGATGCCCCTGGTACCTTTCATAGGCTGTTTTTGAGTGTGGTTTGAGTGTGTGCGAGGACACAGGCCCCATGATCCCCTATTACCCAGGGACCCCATGAGTTGTAAGTCCACCCCTGCAGACACCAGTTGGCTATCATTCTTTGATCAGAAAACCTTCCTCTTTGACCCCTCTGATTTAGTTTGACTTTGTTACTACGGATGTGACTCCCTGGTGGAGCACATCCAAGAAGTTTGGAAAGTCAGACCCTCAAAACCTGTGGTCAGGAGGATAGTTATACAGCAGAGGGAAAACCTTCTTTAGGTAGCACTGCAATCACACTAAAGCAGGATTCATGTTTCAGTGGCATCCTTGCAGATACTTCTCACAGCAGCTGCTCACCTGGGTCTCACTCCAAGGCCCCATTTTCTAATCATTGTGCACAACTCTACATGCTTACTTCATTATGGACAGGATTTTACTAGATCATGGATCTAGAGTGCCTGTACCATGGGAACAACAGGTCAATCATCTATCCCTCTAGGTCTCCCACAGAGAAATGTTCAATTCTTAATAAGAAGGTCACCAGATTCGGTGAACTCCACCCCAGCCTCTATGGATTTGGCTGCTTACTCTATGCTCCTAATTGACTTTATTAAAGAACCTACATTACTTTCAGTCTGGAGCTATATTATGGTAGGAAACACTACCCCCAGGCCTTTTTCCCATACAGCACCCACAGCCAGGCAACAGGAATTTTCCACACACTCCAAATGGCTCCAGAAGACAATCTAGGGGGTTTGGTTTTTGTTTTATTTAATATTTCGGTAGAACTTGGATAGGGATTAAGGGGTACATGAGATGCACCAAACTGAAGAAATGCTGCAAACCATTTAAAAATGGCCGAGGACCTGCTAAACCATTTAAAAATGGCCGAGGACCTGTTAAAGTCTCTGGCTACTGTAGACTGCTTCAAACAAAGCTGCGAAATAGAAATGATGACACGGGGTGTAAAATGGACAACTCAAAGTTGTACACTCAGCACCTGGCAGTATTGCACAGCAACTGACTGCTGTCAACCCAAGCCAGAGATATTGGGGGGTGCCCCTGGCTGTCTTGCACTGCACTAAAGCTGTCCCCAGTTCCCAAACATGTGCAGTATTGCACTACACTGTCTCCTCTATGGCTTTGTATATGTTGGCTGGTAGGTACTCAGTCCCGTTGAATGGCTTTGTGAATTCTGAGAGCTGTTGCATGTGCCTTGCTGCTGTACAGGCTGATTCTGGCTTGGAGTCCTCAGCTAAGCCTAGCTGGAACTATGGCTAAGTGATGTTGTGGAGTTTTCTTCTCTCTCTCTCTCTCTCTCTCTCTCTCACTCTCTCTCTCTGCACTCTCTCTCTTCTGCCCAGGAGCCAGAGCCCCCAGCACAGTGGGTCCCTCCAGACAACTGGACCCTGGATTCTGCTCCCTGACTGCCAGACTTCTGAGTAATTATGGGTTGTTTTCACTCCTTCTGGGCCTGCCTCCCCAGGGATTGGTGGAAACTCCATGAATATTGAGGCTGCAGCCTCTATCCCTCCACCCACTAGATTCTGGAACTATCCAGAAAGTTCCAGAAGATAGGAGGAGATAAGAAGACCACAGCCTGTGAAGCTCAGCCTAGCCCTCCTAACCAATTAACTGGCTACAGAGGAGCTAAACTAAATTTACCTACTCTAGCAACCTATTAGGGTGTTACAGGTATTTATAGACTGATTAAAGTCCCTACACATTTTACTAGAACATTCCTTCTCAATGGCATACACAGATATGCGTGATGCAGGTGTCAATCTCACACCCTTCTCATGGTTTTTAACAAGATCATTTTCTTGCTGGGCCAATTACTTCGCACAGGGACCAGAAACTCTTCCTCCTCACCTCAACTCTATAGATAGGGCACACTTGAGGACCTCCTGGGGGGAGGACCTCCTGGGGGGAGCACAGACAAATGGGTCATACTCCCTTGGGTTGAGGGAAACCCAAATACCAACTATATGGCAACTTCTCATTCACCAGCTTGCCTAAGAATTCAAAAGCATGACCTCTCTCAAATGAACTGCATCACACCACATCCTGAATGCTGAGAGAGAGTGTTCTCTCTTAACTGGGGAAATGAGAAAAAGCGTTCACGGAGACTGAAGATCAAGGGCACCACATCCCAACTATGATAGTAATTCTTAACTGAGGAAATCCACCAGTCACACAGACAGCAGGCCACACAGAGTACTCCTCATTAAGGAAGACTAGCACCATCCTCTAAGCACCCCTTATATATTTGAAATGAAACGGAACAAGAATCATGTGCAACGTAACTGCAGACTTTTAATTTGAGGGTATTTACATCCAAATCAGGTGATATATATGTCCCTATCAGTGAAGCAAGCCCATCATTAGGCTGAAAAAACAAAACAAAACCCATCAAAGAGATAGCAAAAACATTAGGCGTGGCCAAACACAACTGTTTGGAACATTCTTAAAAAGAAGGAAAATATAGAGTTTAACTTTAACCTCCCTGGCGGTATTCCCGAGGTAGTGTAGCTTGGGGTAAAGTTTCAGCACCACAAGCGGTAACCCCGAGCTACACTCGGGCTTACCATGCGGCGTTGCTCCGGGATCCCTCGATCACTTACCTTGTCCTGCGCTCCTGCGATGTCCCTCCTGCAGTGTCCCCGGCAATGTAATTCGGCGGATGCATCTGTCATCTGGGTTCCATCCCCTGTGAGCGTCGGGACGTACGGGGGATGGAACGGCGGGAAATTTGAAAATGACAAAAAGTGACATTCACTAAAATCACATAGTAAAACATTCCTGTATCAAACCATTTCACATACATTTTGTCCCTAGTGCTTTGTCCTGTGCCCTGCCTGCATTTTTACTGTTCTTTCTGCCTGGAAACTGAGAAATGTCCATGACGTCCAAAAAGCGTCCCTTTAGGTCAAAAGCGGTTTTAGACCAGCTAGAGAACAGCGATAGTAAATTAGAACCACTTGCAGAATTGAGTAATAATGATTTGTGGGGAAATTCGTCATCAGACAATGAAAACGATTTTGCGACTAAGATCAGTGATGTGCGAACTTGGCGCTATATTTAAAATTTCAGTGTTTTTGGTTTGATTATATTATTGAATTAAATGTATTATTATTATATTATTATTTTTTATGATTATTTATTAAATTCTAATTTATGATTTCACATTTCAAATTTTAACATACCCGGGATGTTTACTAGACTCTTGTTTGGACAGATTTCAGTGAGTTATTCCTAAAAATGACAGGCCTACAATATAAAACGCCAAATTTCTATGCAATATAATGGTACCACTTTGAGCACCAAAAATCTGAAATAATCATACCGCCAGGGAGGTTAACAGCTACTTCATAGACTATAACATAAACTTCATTGAACAAGTACTACAGTTTATAAGCAAACTCAAAGTGATAATAGCATGTGTTATAGAATATCAAAACTTGCTGTTAGAGATGAACTGTAGCCCATTTTATTAGATCAACCTAATATTGTCCTTTTAAGAATCCAACCTTAATAATATACTTAGGAGCTATGCAGAGTACTGTCAGACACTAAGCACTGTAAGTGCCTACTTCCATTATTACAGTCCTGTGTATCATTTGCTGTTCCTGTGCCTTTAGTGTGATAGCACTTTGTTATTTACTTAGCAGTACTGCCTACAGGGCAATTTTTCTGGTTTGTGTAGCTCTGGAATAATGTTAAAGTACAAGATGAAAAATATACCCTAAGTATGGAGGTGAGTTTTGTAGCAATCGCTAACCAGGTATTTTATTCACATTTAGCCTAATACATATTTATGCTTTCAAAGCCCAGGAGAGGATTTAGTACAAGAATGTTGAATTCTCCTTCCACATAGTACATATTTAGTGTCAGGAAAATGGGAATATGACAATTTCTATTTCACTTTCCACTGAAATAATAAAATAAGCAGGAATTGTGAGGTGTATATCTTTCTGAATGATTTAATACAAAAACATGTACAATATCCGACTGAATAAATAAAGGAACAAACTACAGTATCCCATAGCAATCAAATTTTACCTTTATTTTCTAGTTCATAAAGTTAAAACACAAATTAAAACACAAAAATCATATGCAGAAATGCAGTGAGCTCTTACATTTTAGTGGTGGGCTGATAACATTGCCTTGTTACACTGAAATCCCAATCAGTGTTGTCAGCCTTGTTCTCCTCTGCTGGACTACAAGAACACATCCCCCTCTCCCCATCTCCATAATATAAGAGTGAGATGTCCTGTTGTCCAGCTGAAGAAAACTAATCAAGCAGGGGCGTATTTACCACAAGGCAAACAAGGCATTTGCCTAGGGCGGCATTTTTCAGGGGGCAGCACGCCCCCCCTGGAAGAAGGGTAGGAAGAAGGGACGCATGCAGCTTGGGGACAGGTAGGATCTGAGAAAGGCTGTGGGCTGCTTGACTCTCATTTCGGATGTCCACAGCTGTGAAGGTGAGTGTCTTTCTCTCGCTGGGAGGTGAGAGGCCGGTGCATGGGGGCGATGGTAGTGGAAGGCTCTCTTGGGTGGGGGGGCAGGTATGTCTTTGGTCAATGTCAGGCTCTCTCTGGGGGGGATTTTGTGTTGCCTAGGGCAGCAAAAAACCTAAATACACCACTGTAGCCAAGGCTGGCAACACTACTTTGAATTCCAGTGCATCAGAGGTTGTCAGCTCAAACAGGAAGTTAGGAGCTCAATGGATTTTTGGTAGGATCAGAGATGTACTGCATATATATGTAAATGTTTTTCCCTGACATTTTCATGTACTGTAGTTTACAGTGGTCAGATTGGGGAAAATGATTATTGATCAGATACAATGGGTTGCTCATCCTGTAGAAGCTGATGGTTAGGCATGCATATTTCTACATAGCTACATTGGTCCATCTTGGACCACTGTAAGTATGTATGTGCCATACCTGTTAGATTCCCATGGAAGCTGGAAATCACTGTAGTAGGTATCGCTAATGAACACAGGAGGTTGCTCACTTGGCATGGGTGCCATTCAAGGAACACTTTTTCTATATTAATTTTTATATTAATGCAAAATGTTCTCTGATTGGACAAGGTGGAGAGTGTGACGTCACCGCACTGCCTTCCAACCTAGTCCAGTTAGAGAACGCTTTGCATTAATTGAGAAAATGATTGGACCCCATGCCGAGCAAGCTACACAGTTAGTCTGGCTGAAAAAAGACAAAAAGTCCATCCAGTTCAATCATTAAACAAAACAAACAAATTTATAATCCTATACCCAAGCGACCTCCTGTGTTCACAATGCAGCAAGACAGTTGCTTGGCACGGGAACTGGAAGCTAGTGGCGATCAGTGCAGATCAATAGCGCTTCCTACTACAGAGATTTCCAGCTTCCACAGGGATCCCACAGGTATAGCACATCTATATTTACATTGGTTCATGCTGGACCAGTGTAACCATGTAAAATATTTCCATACCTAAACCTCAGCTTTAAATAAAAGGAAGCGGCTGCTGAACATGTGATGGGGGCGTGGACCAAGCACAAACTTACTTTCAAGTGTTACTAAACCCACAACAGTAAAATTATTCTGTATTTGCAGTAAAGAGTGCTTGTTATACTCACTGTGGAACCTAAGGGGTTAATCATCAACATTGTGTAAAAAGGCTGTTTGATCCTGTCTTCCCTGATCCTCCCCTTCTTCTACTGTCCCCAATCAATCTGCTGACAGTACAGAGCTCTAGGAGTCACTCTGCACATGCTCAGTTTACTCTACTGTGTAGAGTTTTTTTTCTTTCTTTGGGAGGGTGCATGTGATCAGCACAGGGATAATCAGCACTGTCCAGAAAGAGGGTCAGGAGTTATGCAGCCTCATAGGACAGTCAGGAAAAAATGAAAACTCCTCCTACAAGCTTTAACAAGAGCTCATCTGGACACTGATAGAAGTCACAAGACTGCTCTAACTGCTGATGAGAAAAGGTATTTAGCAAATTATATTTACTAAAATAATTGCATTTCCATGTTGTGTAGTGAGTGCAGGGTCCTGGGTTTAGTAACACTCTAAGAATCTATGTGGAGGAGGGCTGCAATAGATATGTGTTTCCCCCAGCACTTTACACGCACACCTAGATGAAGCTCAGAAGTTCAGTAAGGCTGTCTATAGACAGGACATTTTTTTGCCCAAACTGACAAACATTCATAAAACTCCCTTAATGATCAGCTCATTGAACAAAATGATCAAAAACAACACACTGGTAAAAGTAGACAAAATTATTTTTCAAAATGATGGGAAATCATTGTCGGCAGACATTTATAAATAGGAATGACCTCACAGAGTGGTGGTCAGTGGAGTCACTGTGAGAGCTGTGCAAGATCTGCATGGCACATACGAAACAATGAACATTCTCTATTAAAAAAATATTTTAAGAGTTGTTATGGTTTACTGATTTTCCACGCCACCTTTATTTTTAGTGGAATATTTGTTGGTTTGGGTGAAAATTCATTCCCTTTGTAGGAAGCCCAAGATTAGCTCATGGCTGCATGAAAAGAGGAGTAAAGACCAATGGAGGAGCTTTAGGGACGCCCTACCTCAAGAGGCCCTTAGCCAGTTCACACTACATGCATTTCAGTTGTTTTTTTTCTGCATCCAAAATGCACGGAAAGTAGGTTATATGGTTGTCAATGTCGTAGTTCACATCAGTGCTTGCAGTTTCAGTGCGTTCCAGTTGCAGAAAAAAAGTAGAACATGCTGCATTTTTTCTGCACAGAACTGTACTGGAACCAGGGGCGGACTGACCATTTGGAAACTCGGGCACTGCCTGAGGGCCCGGGGTCAGTAGGGGGCCCCATGAGATGCCCTTGGTACCTTTTTCATAGGCTTTTTTCAGTTTTGGCAAGGACACAGGGGCCCCATGATCCCCTATTGCCTGGGGGCCCCATGAGTTGTCAGTCCGCCTCTGACTGGAATGTGGTAAAACGCATCAACAATGCACCAAAATCGCACTATTTAAACTGAAAAAAATAGAGGGGGGAAAATGAACTGGAATGCATAAAAAATGCACTGAAATGCATCAAAAATGCGCATGCAAAAACATATCCAGAATGCATCTGGACTACATTTCTATAGTGTGAACCGGCCTTTATAGTGATGTCTGCTGTGCCACCAGCGTGTCATTGCAGAGCTGCAATCATGCTAATCATATGGCAGCTAGCAAGTGGAATCATCACACAGTGGGAAGGCGCAGACATCCCAAACACCTGGAAATTCAGATTTTGAAGGCTGCAGTGGCGGGTGTAGCTCTGCAAAAGATAGAAGGTTGGAGTTACCAGTGGTGGGACTGGTATGTATTCTACTTTAGGGCCATTAATATTTTTTTGCATCGTAGCACTCTGCAATGTACACCATACAATGTGGTACACTGCTGTGTGTTAAGCTGTGTTAGGGGGCTATTCAAAATAAAGAGCACTGCTGCGCGCAAACATACATACCACTTTGACCAGTGGTGGGACTGGTATGGATTCTCCTTTTAGGGCCTGTTAACATCTTTTTGCATTAAAACACACTGCAATGTACAGCACGTGTTGTGGTGCATTATGATGCTGTGTTGGTATTAAATAAAGTCTTGCGAGCTACTATGGTGCCTAAAAATAGTGTCAAACTTATGTGAAACATTATATTAAAACAGCAGATTGCCTAAACATCACACATACCGGTACAAATGTGTCATCATTATACAAACAAAAAAAACTAGTGTTGTGCTCCACTGATAAGTATATGGAGATTGTATATAATCTGCAATCTTAAAAATCTTTCCAAAATTAATGCAACTGTTCCAGAATTTAAGTGTCCATATTTTATCTGTGAAGTCACACTCCTTTCAGTGATGTAGACAAACCGACTTGTGCTTGGTTCACCTCCTGCTATATCAGTGTGACAACCATGCATGCACCTTCACCAGTTGTGCTCTCACCTGGTAAATATAACCAAGCCATTAA